CAAGGTTCTGCTGAGCTGCGGTCAGGCCTTCAGCTGTGTGTCTCCAGGCTGGTTCAGAATCATCTTCACTGATCGACTGCACAAACTGCAGCTAGGTCTGTCGATCACTCTCATTCACATTTCAGTTCCTGTCTTCTTGTAGTGTCTCCTATGCAGTCTGGGGATGTGATTGGCATTTATTCCTTTCACATCCTTGTTTTCCAGGTGTGCAGAGGATTAAAAATGCATTAGAAGAACTTCAGGGCTCTTCAGTGCTTGAGACAAAGAGGACAACAAGTGACGAACAGGATGACAGCCGTGGGACCGTGAGGAGGGAAGACACTAAGACAATGGATGAGTGCAAAGAGCAGACACACAAGACCTCAAGCGTTCAAACCAAACTTGACACAGTGTGCATTAAGACAGAGCCCGTCTCACTGGCTGATGAAAACGTTACAATTCTTAATGGCCAATCTGACATGCGCTCAGAGAGTCTGGACTCTTTGATTGGTACTCTGCGACAGCAGATCCACGTGTCTGATTGGCTGGAGAAGCACAAGCCAGAGTTGGCTGCTGGACAGGACCCAACACAATTGGATGTTTTCACAGACCTGCTCGATAAAGCCAGGAAATAGAGTAACAGTTGGTAGAAACAAGTTTGTGCAACGCAACTGTCAATACAAATACTTTTTTTAATGAATGATACTTTCACCTCATGTACAGTTTAGAGGCAAAGTCTGTAATTGCAGAAACAGCACAACGGCGATCCTTGTAATTAGAGAATGAAACAATTATGGAGAGTCACCACAGCAGTATATGAAAATGTTGTTATTGTTGGATGTTTTTATACTTTAATTATTACCCTGGCTGTCACAGTAATTGGAGACTGCCCCTTTAATTGCACTCATATCAAATTCTAAGCATCCAATCTATTGTCTTTGAGTTGTTTTAAAGGGGTCTTATTGTGAGGAATCAATTTCTTTTAAAATTAGAATTTTGTATAATGGAAATATATTGATATATTTTAGGATTTTTGTCCTATTTTGTTCTCAAAATTTGTTTTTAAATTAGACTTTTCTGTAAAAAAACAAAAACAAAAAAACCTTGAACCAAGATTAATTTACTTAAACAGCACTTCACAATGTATCTTTAATACAAGTGTATTTTATTTGATAGTGCAGCAAGACAAAATGCTATTCAAGAATTCCAGATAGTCTATGACAAGTCTTCATATCTTGTGAAGTG